CCCCCCCAAAAAAAAAACAAAAAACTGATGAAACCTTAAGGCCCGCGGCTTTAGCCCAATCGCCCTTAACCCTAAACCGCAGTGCTCCGACTGCGAGGCAGGGCTTTTCGGGCTAGCCACACAGGCCAAAACTCAAGTTTGAGAGCAAAAATAACGGAAAATCAAGCGCACAAACCCCACATAAACCCTGAATCGAGACTCACCAGAACCTAAACCAGGACCCAAGGCACAACCTCGCATCGACTTGAAGACTTGAGTGAAGCTGCGAAGATCCGGCTTCAGCTTAGTTAAGAGTGCAGCGCAGGAGCTTTTGTTCGCTGGGATGGTTTAGGCTTAAGTGTCAGCCTACCAGCCCAGGATCTCCCTGCAAGGCTTCTAGGACTTATGGTCCTTACCCATGGGCTCCTAAGTAGTTCCCTAATTTATGGTTCCTGTTTAGAATCCTATAAGGTAATCCCCAAAGTAGAGCTACTAAGGAGCCTATGGGTATCATTGTGGGTGTACGGTTTAGGCTTTGGGATTCAGGGTTTAGGTCTTACGGTTTATAAGGCTTATAGGGTATCTACACTGAATCCCAGACCGCAGACCGCACTGCGCCCCGGCCTCAACGGAGTTCGCCACGGCCTGGAACTTGTCCCCAGGGAAGCGGAAGCCAAGGTCAGTGGCAATCCAGCCTGCCATCCGCAGATGTTATCGGCTTTTGGGGATACCTACGTAGAATCTTCGGGTTACCTTATGTCTTCGGGTTCAAGAGGATGCTAGAGGTTTACGGGTATACCGTGGATGAGAAAATCCTCGACGCCCAGCGCTCCGGTCGAATCTAACGTCGGAGTGCTGACCGCTCTCCGATTCTGCCGATGGAAAGCGTCGTTATCCCCTGAGGTCCGTTCTACTCATACTATCTTATACCCCCGACATCCAAAATTAAGACCCCTATACAAAGGACAGTCGCTACCCTGGACCCAGCAGAGTCCTTCCCAGCCACCTAAAGTGCCAAAGTGCAATAGCCTGTCAGGAAACGCTGAAAGCGATAAAGACTTAACTCAAGCAGTCTCCAGCTCAGTTTAGGGTCATTTCCTGAGATCACATAAATCAAGGCTTCCAGAAATCTGAAGATCATGACGCGATCGGAAGCTCCCCACCTACAGTGGCCAGCATGGCGACTCTGCCGTGCTTCAGCTCCGCCTCACACGAGTGGCAATGTGAAATTCGGATTGTCGCGTAACAGATGGCGCAAGGGCTGTAGGAAACTGTGCTGCTTCCGCCTTCTCATGCAGGTGTTATGTGTATGTGAGTGTATGTATATATGTATGTATGTATGTCTGTCTGTCTGTCTGTCTGTCTGTCTGTCTGTCTGTGTATGTATGTATGTATGTATGCATGCATGCATGCATGCATGGATGGATGGATTCAGTATTTACAGTGCCCGGTAAAATGATTAAAGTCCTTCGGATGGACAACCAATGACTTTGGTAAGGAGAGCTGTCGTCTCCGAGGAAGACCTCCAGTCTTAACTTTAGAGGTGCGTCAGGCGTGCAGATAGTTGCTGTTCTGGTAGGGGCTGCGGTAGGAAGTGGCAGTAGCAAGCTGCGCTGCAGACCTACCAGGGCATCTTTTTCCGTTTACGGGGCTACGCGCGCTTTCAAGTTTCTACTAGTTTCAGGTTTCTTTCAAATGCTTACTAGCCTGGAAGTAAGGTGTGAATCGACAACTTGGCAGACCTCCCCATCGGCACTCCACTGAGGTGCTGTGCTGGCATATGCGAAGTACCCACAGACACGACAAGAAACGGGCCTCACGGACCCAGTAGACCGGCAAAGCATCGGTGACACCCAGCGGGTCGAAGCCCTTCTCCTCGCCAACCCAGCCCTTCAGGACCTGGCCACGGTATGGGGTTTAGGGATTTAGGGATTCAGGGTTTAGGGTTTAGGGTGTAATTTGAGACTTTTCTTGAAAGGGTCTGGTTTGGGGCTGTGTAGGAATGCAGGGTTTAGGGTCTTGGGCGTTGCAATGAGAACCTGAAAAGCTTTTCAGGACGCGAGGTCTCTGGGGTTTCAAGCCTCGGGCTTTAGGCAGGGTTGAGATTTTTGGGGTCTAGGGGGGTTTGGGGTTTAGGGGTTCAGGGCTTAAGGGGGGTTTAGGGCTTAGGGT